CATTTCCTGAGATAACTAAAAATTTTTGTATAATAATGTTTGATATTAAAAAAGACGCTCTTTATCGCTCTATCCAGCAGCCGCAATGGGCGCTCTGTTACTCTAACGATTCTCTCAGTATGGGAAAAAATTTAACCGCGGTTGTGAAAAAATGGATTACTTTTGTTTCCTGACATTTCCTGAAAAAATTTTGTAAAATGATGTTTTATATCGAAAAGGGCGCTCTTTACCGCTCTATCCAGAAGTAACAACCAGAGCTCTGTCACTCTAACGATTCTCTTAGGATGAGGCAAAAACCAAATGCTTTTTTATCATGAATTTTTCAAAACCAGATTTGCACTTATCGAATTTTGCACAGAATAAAACACATTTAAAAAAAAACGTACACCCTTGCCTCTTTTCCATCAAAATCAAAAAATATACTCAAAATGCAAATTTGTATAAATTGTCTATTTGACCAACAAATGATGCAAATCATTTATTTTTACGATCCATTTAATTTACGAATTTGGCAACAACTAAATCCTGAATTGAAAATTCTTGAAGATTTTTCTTCAACTCTCGTCTTTTTATCATCATGTGATGTAATATGTCCTTACGCATGCGGAAGAAGTGTTTTACCAAATTAAAGTTGCAGTTTATAGCTGTTTCTTCCCTCATCTTTCCTCGTTCGTTTCCTCCAAACAAGCAAAGCAAATTTGACTGCTTAAATGAAAAATTCAACAAAACCTTCTGCAGGACTTGAGCATGAGGAAATAGAAGAATGACACAGCAAGTATTTGCAAAACCTGAAAACTAAATTATTACAAAGAAAGAAAAGACAAGTTCAACTCAGACGATTATAATATCACTGGATGAATTAGCATCAGAACAGGCAGCGAAGAAAAATCATCAGAGCATCAAAAGACTAAAGAAAAAGCGAATAATCGCAACCTGAAACTTTTTTTTTGAATCCGATCTATTTCTATAAAACGCGTCCCGTTTTCTTCGACTGCAATCTTTCAGAGAAACATCAGTTAAAGCGCGTTCACAAAAATTATGTTAATGTTCTTCTACAAATCCCGATGTTTATTTCTCATGCTCGAAAGAAAATCATATTTATTGCTTGTCATTGAAAGTGACAGTGTACAAATTGCGGTCTTGGTGAAAAAAAGCGGCCGCGAGGAACGTTTTTCTGTAATTCTTGCCTTGAATTAGCTTCGCGTTAGATTTTGATTTATTCGTCGACTGTCTACTATGTGAGGTAATTAATAATTTTTCGTTCCGAAACATCGACGGTTCCAATGGATAATTGACGATCCTTTTCAGTTTAGAACTTGAGTTTTTTCTGATTTTTTATCAGTTCATTTGCTTGTTCTTACATAATCAGCTTCAATTGTTGGAACAATGGAAACACTGTTCTTTCGATTAAAATTGAAAAGTTTTTTCTACTGACACTTCATTTAAGTTAAATGGTGAAACACTTGGAAGGTTCTCGCGCCAAGTCCTACTGGAAAATTGATCGCTTATTCCACGAATTTTCCATTTCGAAATATCAATTAGATCCTGTCAAAATATTGCAAAACGCCTTGGATTTTTGCCTTAATTCCAGCTTGTTTTCGGTACATCTTTCATGCGGCGTCCAAATTGCTTGCACCGTCGAAATTAACAATGTTTATTCGCGTTTGACAGGGCGAGTGGTCTATAAATAAGGCTTTTTTCCACCAAATTTATTTGGGAGGAATTTTTACTTTTTTCCTGTCATTAGCGCCCCGCATCTCTGTTGTTTATCGACCGTATTTTTTTCGACGACACATCGTTAGCGAACGAGAGACGAAATGATATCTGCCCGATATTCTCGACTAAAAATACATGTTTCCGAATTATTTTTATTTTCGCCCAAGGTAATTTCGGATGTCTGATGAATTGTATGTATGTAAGTTAATGGATGGAAGGCGACAATCTAAAAACAAGGATGATTCAAAATGAGAGATAGACAAACACTTAAAGCATGAAGTTAAACAAGCAAAAGAGAAAATGACTAAAGGAACAGTACGAAGAGATAGCATGACTGTTTTAACAAAGGGATAACTTATGCTGATAGGAGAAAAAAACAAAGACCTGGCCACCTGGATTACAGAAAACAACGACCAAACAACAGAAAAGAGAACGAGGAAGAATGGAAACAGCAAGAAAAGCGTTTCAGAGATTGAAGACAATCCTCTTTGAAATGTGGTGTTAGAGTAGGATACTTAAAATATCATCAGACAGAAAGAAGAACAAACTTGGAAGTACTTCAAGAAATGGGTAAAGAATGTGAAGCAATCAACTCCATAAATGCAACAAAATTACAATACCCAGGTAGCAAAATATATTCGTACAATATTGGCTATTTGCAACATACTGGATGGCTCAATATTGTTAATAATTATTGCGCCAATATTGAAAGGTGAATATATATATTTCTTTTTAATTAAAATCGGATATAAGAACATGTTGTGAGTTTTTAAAACTTACATTCACGTGTATACAAGTTTTAAAAACTCATAACAAGTTCTTATTATCCGATTTTAATTAAAAATAAATATATACATTCACATCTCAATATTGGCGGACAAACCTCTGGAGTTTGGATCGATTCTCCGACTAACATTTTCTCTTCAAATTTAAATGAATATTAAGATATTGTATGACTGCAAAAGAGATTTTAAATTAATATTCAACCCTAACAATGACATATTATTTTCAATTATTTTTTTGTGAGGAATCAGAATATTAAATAATGCACATATTAATTGAACAATACCCACATATATTAATTAAATAACAAACATTTTTTATCATACGCACATCTTATTTTTGTCCTGATATCGGTTCCTAGAAATAAAATAAACTCAGTTAGATTTTACTAAAATTGCAACACAAATAATGGCTTTTTGTCTACTTGTATGAAACCATTATTAAACAAAAAAAAAACTCGCCGGCCTGGACTTTCTTCCACTCTCTCTATCTCCAGCACTAGTCAGGGAAAATCCGATATATTTTCTGATATCTAAGTCGGTTAACATATAAGGCATCATTAGAAGCTTCATCACTCTGAAGTTCTAACCCATAGCTTTCAGAATTAGTGTTTTCACAATTGCGAAAATTGGGTTTATGCTTTTTAGCAATAGCTTCTTTCTCAAGTTGCCTTTTTATATACATCAATTTTTTTCGATCACGATGACCTGAAATTGATATTACATTGTGCTACAATATTCAGACTTTGTATATGTTCTACAAGTACATGTATTTTTACAGAAAAAGAA